TCAGTTTGAATGAGGGTCTTTAGTACTCTCTGAGCTTGCTTGTTTCTTACAGATGTTTCATTACCCAAACTATGTAATGAACCAACACTGATGATGTTACTTAGTTTGGATAATAAAACATCTGCAAGAAAACAAGCTCAGAGCACCAAGGACCTCTCACTCCGGATGTTAAGAAATGATTGTTGGAAGCGGATCTATCAGTTTTACAAAATGCAATATTTTCTACTAATCAAAGGATGCAAGAATATATATTTTGTAATGTTTTACAATTACTTTCTGTATAGATTATATAGTAACCTCAGAGCTATTGGTAACTTATAAGATACAGAAACTTACTAAAATATTGCCTAAAAACATGACCAATCTGGACAAGGAGACCCTGGTTAGGTTGACAGATTTCGAGGTTGTTAATAAGGTAAAATATTTGGGGGTTACTTTATCTGTTTCTAATGCAAAATTGTATAAAAATAATTATGAAAGGCTGTGGGTCAAAATACAAAGAGATTAGGAAAATTGGGAGAAGCTGCAATTATCTCTTTTGGGGAGAATTGCAGCGATTAAAATGAATGTTCTGCCAAAGTTTTTTTTTATTTCAAATGATAACCTATTTTAAAGAATGAGGTTAATTTAAACGAATGGCAGAAAGGTATCAATAAATTTATCTGGGCAGGGAAAAAAACCAAGAGTAAAACTTAAAATTATACAAGATATTCGTGAGAGAGGTGGACTCAAGGTACCGAATTTGAAATTGTATTATGATGCTGCGGTTTTAACATTAATTAGTGATCGGGTTAATTTAACAAATGTAGAAGTACTCCTCTTGGAGGGTTGGGATTTATTTTTTGGATGGCATGCCTATTTAATTTTCAATAAAAAGGTTGATAGGGTTTTTAAATCTCATAAGGGTTTCTTTACTTCGGGTTTGGAAGAAATATTATAGAAGTGATTTTAAAATTCCACTATGGGCTATACCATGGCATGCGATAGAAGGGATAAGGAGAGGAGTCAAGATGGATAGTGTTTCTTATGCACAATTACTTAGATGGGATGGTAAAAACTGGCAATTAAAATCTTTGGAAGATTTAACACAAGAAAATATTATTTATTCATGGTTTCAGTATAGACAAATAGTGGAGAGGTGGAAAATAGATCGTAACGTGGGTTTGCTTAGAGAAGATGAGAATTTGTTAAAACAAATAAAAGATCAAAGACGAACTCATATTAAGAGAATCTATGGGGTGTTAGTAGAATTGGATTCAGAAGCAGAATTAGTTAAAGAATGTATGGTTAAATGGGCACAAAATTTTGATGAACCGGTTCCATTAGATACCTGGGAGATTATTTGGGTGAGGAATGTTAAATTTACACAAGCCCAAAATTTAAGGGAAAATTTTTATAAAATGTTTTATAGATGGCACCTTGATCCACAAAAAATGTCTCGTATGTATCCTGACTTGCAGCCTAAATGTTGGAGATGTGGATGTTTGGATGCTACTTATTATCATATCTGGTGGTCATGTAAAAATATAAAAGCTTTTTGGATTAAGATATGGTGGAATATTCAAAGAATTTTTAGAAGAAAGATAAAATTTACCCCACAATTGTTTTTGTTAGGAATTGTTTCTGATTGTGATAGTAAAGAGATTATATTGATGTTAAATTTAATCACAGCGGCCAGGTTGTTAGTAGGGCAATGTTGGAAGAAGGAATCTTTGCCTACTTTGCAAGAGTGGTTTCTTAAAGTTTCTTATTTGGCGGAAATGGCAAAGATTTCGGCTTTCTTGAAAGATCAATCACAAGAGAAGTACCTCCTGGTATGGAAAAAATGGATAGATTTTATACAATATAAGTTGGATATAAAAATATTATTTAGTTTTTGAATAATTTATATTTAAAATTTAAGATATTTTATAGACATTTTTTTTTAATTTTTTAATTTTTCTTTTTTTATTTGATTTTTTCTTTTTCTGTTTCTTTTTTCTTTCTTGTATTTTTTATATATTGTTAACTATTTTATAATTTGTTTAATTAATGTATTTAGATTTGTTTATGGTTTATATGTGTCTTAAGATTTTTTAATTTTTTTTTTTAATTAAGTCTGTATTCAGCTCTGGGAAGGTCGAGGGAGGGTAGGGGAGGGTTGGGAGGGTTTGGGGAAGGGATTTTTTTGTAAAACTTAAAAATTTTCAATAAAAAAAAAAGATACAGAAACTTTTTCTCTTTTTTAGTCAATGGTATAGAGTTTCCTGCCTGAGCAGGGGGTTGGACTAGAACAGTGGTTCTTAACCTGGGCGATATTGCCCCCCAGGGGGCTATTTCATTTTTCAGGGGGGCAATGGAATGAAAAGGGGCAACGCGGGGGCGAAGGAACAAAAAGGGGGCGATATGGGGGCAATGGAGCGAGACGTTTTGGGGACACTTTTGAGACTTTTTCATACAGTGAATTGCTGTATATCTGTCGTACAAAAACATCAGATTGCTCGCTATTAGTGGATTGAATTGTGTTTTCAAATGTTCTCTAGCTAGCTTCAGTACAGAACACCGTACTTATGTGAATATGCATCGCTTATCTTCATGCGCATTGCGGTTTGTTCTTATACCCTTTTTATATTTCTTTTTGCGTCTTAAACTTCACTTATAAATCAATCATTAAATGTTACTGTTTTTCTTTTCGAGCATTTCACTTTCTTGCAATTGAATTTTGTTTTCAGTGATCATTACATTTGAATAAATAAGATAATAATGAAATACATGTATCACGAAGTTTGGAAATAAAGTGATGGGTGGCACCAAAATTTTTCACACAGTTGAGATATGGGAAAAAGACTGGAAATAAATTATTTGCACCGATATGTCCAGATGACAATTTTAAAGAAAATAAAAAAAGTGTTTGCATAAATTGAAGAATTATTTCTTATGTTGTGATTGAGAGGGGGGCAATGACAACTTCCTCATTGGCTCAAGGGGGCGATTCATTCAAAAAAGGTTAAGAACCACTGGACTAGAAGACCTCCAAGGTCCCTTCCAACTATTATTCTGACTGTTCTATTCTAAAGATGATAGATAAATAGGTAGGATAGGATAGGATATAAATGCTATAACTATTAGAAGTAGATAAACTTCTTCCCAGTCACGTTGTATGTGTGTTAGCCTACAAGAAGTCAATGTTTTGTTTAATTTCTTACATTGATGACTTAGCGTGCAAACTTTATTGTTTATAATTTGTTTCAGACGCTTGATTCTATACTTAATGTTGAGATGATGAAACAGAAAAAGCCTGAAGAAATAAAGCAGGTGACAAAAATGGGAATTCTTAAAAGTACATTTTGTGTAACTTAACGCTTTTAAGTTAATGGAACCTGTTCTCTGTTAACTTTTGACAAACAAAAACTTACAACATTAAAGTTATATATTCAGGATTGTTGCTCATAGTTACTGTTTTCTATATGGAGATACTTGCTTTGACAATTTAACAATACCATAATTTCTCTTGTGTGAATTGTCCTTTTTATTAAAAGTCTGTAGATTAGTCTACAGTCTTATATAATTTTAAAATGACACACACACACACACACACACACACACACACACAAACACAGTCCTTCTTGTATGACAGTGAAGTCCTTCAGTTGTGGCAGAATAAAAACATGACCATTAAATAAATAGATATTGGTGTTTTTTAAGCCCAGAGCTTACTTCCATGCAGGATAATGGGCAGAAATCAATTCCCATATATTCCCTCCCCCAATTCTGTTTAAAGAATATTTAGATTCCTGTGCATGATGAAATAAGATGATAATGAACTTTTTAAAAGTATGTCCATACCATGGAGGTTTTTGTCCAAGCCCGTTCCTCAGAGTTCATCCTTACGTCTTTCTGGGACTGAGTAAATCTCTTTTTGAAGAATGAAAATCTCAGTGAAATCAACTTGCAGTTATCCTATAGAGTTCTTTAGTTTGTTATGCGTTTCATTCAGTAAGTTTTGGTTATTTTCATTACTAGTTTTGACTCTCTGAATCTTAAATAAAAGCATGGGTAAAAAACCTGGAAGCTTTCCAGTTTGGCTATTAGACTGAAAACAGCACAAGTAAAAACCAGCTTATTTCAATTGATTGAAATATTGTACTGAATTGAGATTATTTTGATTCCGTTCATGGTCTTCAAAATAATTGGCACAATCTCTTTTATCTAGATATGGAAGCAGTACTTTTCTGGAGAAGACACAGTTTATGCTGTTATTCCCGTAAGTACAACAGTAATTTCCCCTATCTCAACATTTCTCCTGTTTAACTTAGTGGGGCCTTCAGAAATTAAATATTTATTGCTGACAGTGCCAAAACAGTTTTGTTGTTAATATTCAGGAGTTTGATCGCTTGCTATTGTTAGAAACCACCTCAAATGGTGGGATGTAAGAAAATAAATCACGTTCTTTATCATTTATTTTTCAATTGTAAGAACTACATAAGCATGTTTCCCATTTCTTTCCAAAGGGAAAAACTTTTGATGTCATGTGGAAACGAATTCAAAATTGTCCATCTGTAAGTATACTGTGTGTGTTTGGGAAGGCTCTTTGTGGGCAGAGTCTGTCCTTTCACTGTTCTCAGTATAAAATTTTGTTACTGATAGTTTGACGTTCCAATTGTGATGGAATTTAGATAAGCTGTTCTTAATAGATCATAGTCCTGATAATCTGGAGCTGCTATATTGATTAGTCAGTTCTTATCACTCTTATAATTCTCTAAGGCACGGGTGTCAAACTCGATCGTGTCAAGTGATGTATCGTGACATATCATGACTTTTTTGCCTTTGCGGAACAGGGGTGGGTGTGGCCTGTGTGTGATTTATCCAGGCCGCTAGTTTGACACCCCTCTCAGGAGAAATTTCCTGACAGTGGAACAGTTAATCAGTGGAATGGATTGCCTCCTGAAGTTGAGGGTGCTCAATCACTGCTGGTTTTTAAGAAGAAATTGAAGAGCCATTTCTCTGGAATGGTATAGGATATCCTGCTTGAGCAGAGGGTTGTATTAGAAGACCTCCAATGTCCCTTCCAACTATTATTCTGTTTATAAAAGTACTTTAGTCCAAAAAATGCAGAACGTACTGAATTGTTGCAAAGAACGTTCTGGGGGAGCATCAGAGGCGGATAAAAGTTTCTTAGGCTGAGCTGGAAATGAGGAAATGAACATTTAAGAAGCGTCACTTTCCAGAATTAGTCTAGAACACAGGTTGGCAACCTGCGGCTCCGGAGCTGCATGCGGCTGTTTGAGCTTTACCCTGTGGCTCTGCCATTTGCAGGGAGAGACAGAGACAGAGAGAAGCACTTCCCTGCTTCTCTCTTTCTGTGTGTGTGTGTGTGTGTGTGTGTGTGTGTGTGTAAGTGTGTAAAAGAGAGTGGACTCACAGTGTTCTCCGATGAGCAGAAAAGCTTACCGGGCGGGGCTCCTGCCTTGGCTGAGTCTCTGCAGGAAGCAGGAAGGGCAGGAGAGAGTTAGCTAGCCCATCTATGCTGACCCTGGAATTCTGGGAGTTGAAGTCCATGAGTCATAAAAGAGCCGAGGTTGCCTACCCCTGAGCTTGTTAGAAAACAGTTTGAAGCCAACTTGCCAGCTGAGTAGAAGATCAGAGAGAGGGAGAGGGAGAAAGAGAGAGAAAAAAAGAGAGTGGGGGAAGAAGACTGGCAGACCAAGGGCAGAAAGAGAGAGAGGGAGGGAGGGAGAGACCCTTTTGACATCTAAAATGAAGATAACACTGCATATATCATTCCCCCCCCTCTCTCTATATGTATGTGTATGTATATATATATGTATATATATAAAAGTAAAAAAAGGATATATGCAGTGTTATCTTCATTTTAGATATCAAAAGGGTTTTGCGGCTCTCGGTGTTTTGTTTTCGATGGGAAACGGTCCAAATGGCTCTTTGAGTGTTTTGGGTTGCCTACCCCTGATCTAGAATGACTGCTCATTTGTCTTCCCGAGTCTTGTGTTTTATTCAATTTGACCTGGATTTCAATAGAACAATTTTAATTCCCACTTATCTTCAATCCAGTTTCTTTATGCGCTGCCAAGAAAGGAAGGGTATGAATTTTTTATTGGACAATGGTCAGGAACAGAACTTCACTTCACTTCTCTGATAAACATCCAGGTAGGTGGGGTTTTTTTTTTTTTTCTAAAAAAATATTTCCAGAGGTAGTTTTGGAAATTCAGAAAGGAGGTAGATTCCCCCCCCCCCAATTCTTTGTATGTCACTGTCTTTTAAAACCACTCCTTAAAACAAGAATTATCTCAGGTGGGCACTTATAAGATGTCTGGGTCTTTAAGGGAAATTGAGTTGTTTTTGAGCTCTTTGCTACATATCCCTTATACAGGATTGTTAAATTGCAGAAAATGATTTTTATTCAAGACTTGGGTCATTTATTTGGCCTTACTGTGAGATGCTTAAAACAGACAATCCTCCAGTGCTTGATTCAAAAGGGCATGGTGCTCCAAATCAATTAAGCCTTGACAGTTTTTTTTATAGTAAAATTATGCAGCCGAAGCTGATGTGTTAATCATTCCAGATACTGAACCTATGCAAGTCAAAATTGGCTGATTAGATGGTGATTATGTCTGGAAAATTAAGCTGGGATATGAGCAGACTTTTTGCAGGACACATCATAGTAGCAAATAAATTAAATCTTCACTTTACTATGGCTTCCTGTTTTGACTACAGTACCTGGAACCTACAAACCTTTAATGTTTAGTTAATTAAAGTGCTTGTTGAATACCTGGAATCTATGATTTCAGGATATTAAACTATGGTTTGAGGCTGGTTAATGATTTTTGCTTGTTTTGAGAGGTAACATGGAAACTGCATAGCCTAGGAGCCTGATTGCTTTTGCCTCAAAGCAAAAACAAAATGGCTTCATGAATTGTCAGAAGTCCCTTCATAACTCAAGCTTACTAAGGTAACACATGTTTGTCTGGACTCTTCCAATGTGGAGGTAGCTCAGAGTTTCAGCTGAATAATGAATATTTTTCATAACACTCAGACAGCTCTGTGATAATGTGCCCAGATGTCAAAATGAGAAACTAAATTTTACCAGAGGAAGTGTGTTCTCTAGATCAGTCTTTCTCAACCGTTTCTTGATGAACATGCTAGATGGGAACTAAGAGAGTTGCAGTTGAACTTCGTGCTTGGAATGACATCTTAATCTAGCCAAAAATCAAAATGTACATTTCTCTCTTTCTGTTGACTTCCTAGTATTAGAGTATTGGAGGCTTTTAGATATATATACTTACACAAATATTTCTGTGCATATGCCATACATAAAACACCAAAGAAGGAAAGGATCCTGAACAGAAAGAGCTCAACAGTGCAATATTTTCTTCTTACATCACATAGATGCCTGTGTATCTCTTTCCTGATGGAAACCTTAAAATGGTTCGGTAATTAAAGTGTTTGTGGAATACCCATGTCTTTATATAATAATGAACATTGCATTTGCCGCAGACTCAAGGGGATGTTTCTCCCAGCCAGTTGATTTTGTATCATTATCCTGAGCTTCAGAAGGAAAAAGGAATTGTACTGATGACCGCAGAAATGGATTCTAAATTCTTGGTAAGCAACACTTAGCAATGGTCAGGTTTTTGTGACAGAAAGACAGTTCCTTGGTTTATTAAAACAAATAGCAGCACAACAAATAGCATAAGAGTGGAATTATTCTTGTATCATTTTGTTAGTCTTGCTTACTGAAAGCACAGAACGGATGAGCATTTCTAAGTATGCTAGGCAAATATTTTTATACATATTCCACCCTCATGTTGATACCAATGGAAGAGACTTCCAGATGGCCAGCTAACAGTTTACAAAACAAATATGTAAACTTGTGAATGTTCAATAATAGCTTGCACACTTTAGTAATGTGGACTATAATAGAACTGGCCCACATTTTTTTATTTTTATTTTTTGCATTCCAGTTGGCTCTCTCCCTTTATTTTTTGTCTGACCAGTATTGCGATAGTTGAAGCTGTACCAACTGTTGCTGTTACACATTTTTGTTCCGCTTCAAAGACTTAAAAACAATTGGACAATATTCAGGACTGGCTTACAAATACCTCAGAATTGATAAAAGAGCCACTGGCCTCATCACCATAATGTTCCTTTCCCTTTCATAATCAGTTCTTAATGATTTGAAACACCTCCAAATACGAAAACACTGGGCCACTTTTATAGCAGCTTTGTTATGTCTGTTATTATATAATTGTCCTGCCATTAGAGCACTGTAATAAAAATGAAACTGAATTTTTGGTGCAAGGTGTAAAGGTTAATGCTCCTTGTTTTTCCACTGATGAAGCCCTATAACTCTTCTAACAGCATATACGTTGTTTATTTTCACAGAATGTACAGGAAGCCCAGTGCCTAGCCAGCCAGGTTCAGCTTTTCTATGCCACAGACCGTCAAGAGACCTACTGGTTAGTGGAATCATTTAACCATCAGCCAAGTGAATTTAAATATATGTCTGTAATAAGTGAGCTCGAACAGAACAGAATTGGGCAAGAACTGAGGCCTCAGGAAGATGTGCCCTCACCAACCGCTTGAGAGGGGTAGCGGCTTTAACCAAAGACACTCTTGCCGTAGCAAGAGATCCCACCATGGGACAGAGTTGCTGTTTTTTTTTCCCCAGAAAGTGTCATTAAAAAGGATGCCCTTGGGACTCAATGGGGAAAAGACTCTCTCTTATAAAGGGGACTACTTAATACTGTGACAATAATGTAGAGGCACTTGTCCATTTATATCTGAATGTTAGAAGAACGATTAAGCATTTACAAACACTATATGAAGTATTCGAAATTTCCTCTCTTCCCGGTTGCACACAGCTTGTTGGGTTTTAGCATGTATGAAGTTTCTACATGTCTGTTGTTCAGCAAAAAAAAAAAATGAAACTGAAAAAAAAAAAGAAGAGCAAAGAAGGGCCTCTCTCAGTGGGTATGACAAATTCCTGGACCTGGTAAAAAGTATTTTACGATGAGTGACATGCTATCATTCTCAGCCTGAATGAGAACAAGTTCCCACCTTGTGAAGCAGAAAAGATAAATTCAGAACAAGACTAAAGCCCGTGCAAGAGTCACTTTGAATGTTCTTAAGCATGTCCAAAAATGTATCAATTAAAAATGTGAGGTGATTTTTTAAAAAAAAATGTAATGGAGTGGGATCCATTTGAAATGAAAGACTGTTGAGTATTTACTGAAGTGTTTCTGGTAATTCCTGTAATTCTAAACAGCAGGATGATACCAGGATAATGAAGTTGCAGGAGAAAAAAAAATATTGAGGAAGTATCCATTTTTTTTTCATCTTAGAAATAACCCAGCATTTGCCTAAACTGGATCCAATGTCACCTTTGCTCTTCATTCATAAAAATAGAGTATACTTTCTATTACCTTACTTTCTCTGATTGTTTCTGCTCTTGTAATGAGTCACTTCACTGATAGTGGAAGCAGGCAAAAAGTCATATATTGGAACAGGAGCCAGATGGACTCGTCTTGGGCTTGCTTCAAAAATAAATATCGGTAAAGGAACACTGCCAAATATTTTAGTTAAATAAGATCAGGAAAAGCATTTGGAGGTTATGAGAATATTTCCTAAACATTTCCTTCTGTATTTTAATTATGCACTCCAACTTGTGTTCCACCTGTTGAACAGTATATGCTGTCAAGAAAACCATAAATTGATTTCTCAGGCAAATTGTTCAGAACATATGTGATTCTCATACTCTGAAAATCAAAGTATTGTAAACACGTAAATGAAAAGATGTGTATTGATTAATTTATGAAATCTCTATATTTTTGCTTTGGAATTAAAACAGTATTCTACAGAAAAATGGTGTATTTTTTCTTTTTGTTCAGTTGGTGAGCCTTCAAGTCATAACAGGCACAATATAGAGACGTCCCCTTCTAAGTGGTGAGAAGAAGATGCTTTTTCTCACTGGCAGATCAAAACAAATATTTAGGCATTACCTTTCAATTTAAACGGGAGTCTTTCATACATTGGGAAAAAAATTAAACTAAATGAGTAAATATAGTTCTAGAGACAAGCATAGGATTCCAAGAGCCTTAGATTTAATGCATATTCCAATGAAGAAGCAAAGTACTAAAATGAGAAATAAAAATATCTTTTCTTGGGTCATGTTAACTAGTTAGTCTAATCATGAAATCTCCAAAAAGCAAGTAGGTAAAATTAGACGGCTTGCTCTCTATATAATATTTAAAATTATTTAAAGCACTAAACCAATAAATTGTTTCGCACAATATTTATCCTGATCAATTTCCAAATACATTCCTGAGGGACAGAATGTTAGAAAATAAGGAGCGGGACCCTCAATTTCTGCTTGCATAATGACTTAGCTGCATTCACAACTTGTTTAAAGTCCAAAGTCAACAGTTTTTCACAATAGAGTTCCTAGTTAAAGAAGAATGAATTCATCTTCTCAAGCACTTGTTCAACTTCTGTTAGATTGCACAAGATACTGTATGGACAGCTGTATTCTGCAAGCATACAGTAAAGGCATTTCATAGAAGTAGCCACTAGAGGGCAGTCTTGCCCACACCACTCTTGCTGTTGGTTTTACTCTGAAAATGTACAAGTGACAACACTGTAATGAAAAGAGACAGATACAGTGAAGGATGCAGTATATATGTTCTTTTTTTCCAAGACCCTCAAAAGATACAGCCTCCACCGGTTGCCACAAGAAACCCTTTAGAGCAATTAATGCGTTTCTTCAAACTGCTATTTTTGCTGTTTTCAGAGTGGTGCTTACTAAACAATCATGTGGAAAATACACATCCCAGGGCAGGGGAATGGACTTAAAAAGTGTGGGGATGATCTATTATGTAATCAGTTTATACAGTATCATTATCTTTCTCCTATAGGACAAATATTTTCTCTGACTTTTTGGGCAATGGTGCAGTCTTTCCGTAATTCTTGCAGCTGTCTCTATAAAACAGATCTTCAATTTGTCTAAGTTGGGAAGTAAATTAGCTTTTTTCTTCTTTGGGACATGACAATTATAGGAAAGGAAGAAAGACTGAACAGAGTTTGGTCAGCCACAGGAAGAGCATATAAGACTCCAAATAAAGAAGTCACAAATGAGATTCCAAATAAAGACCATAAATTCAGACTTGACCTTTTAATCCAGGGATCTTCAAACCTGGTACTTTTATGACTTGTGGACTTCAACTCCCAGTGTGCCTGGCTGAGGAATTCTGGGAGTTGAAGTCCACAAGTCATAAAAGCACCAAGTTTGGAAGACCCCTGATTTAACCCCCTTATACTTTAAAAACATCACATCAATGCACACTTATTCTACCATCTTAACAACGGTAATAATTATCACTGTGATATTGCACTAAATAACAGTAGCAAATTCAGCTTAAGAAATTTGCCTTTTCAGAAAAAAAAACCCATCTCAAAACTCTTCTCATTCATTTAGCATGAGCACACTCTTGCCATTTCTTCTAAGCCTTTAGCTTGCCTTTTCTATTGTATTTAGCAAATGGTATTCATTAAAGTAGTGATTCTGCAGGCTGCTTGGGACAAGATAGTCTTATTGTATGAAGTATAATTAGCTGCCCATTTCTATTATGCTTTATTAAAACAAGCAAAATCTAATAATTGGAGAAAAATCCAGTAAGGTGGGTGGTAGTGTGTGTTTTTATCTTAATGATGAAATGTGTTTGTTCAGTGAATTTCACACATGCCTGCTTCAACATCCTCTTGCACTTTTTCAGAGTGTTCCAGAAAACAGAGTGACTATCCAGAACAGGTTTAGGGAAGGGAATCAATGTGCAGAAGAAGAAACAACCTAACACTACACAACAGTACACCACCAAACTTGATGTTCCATTTCATCTATGGTCTCTCATGATAAGAAACATTAGATACATATTTGCTTTTTAAAAACTATTTTAATAGGCGTTTGCTCCTGCTAATTTATTTATTTGTTGGTTGGTTGCGGAGCTACTCTAGGGCGGCTTACAACAATAAAAAGGAAGAAAAATGAAAGGTGTGTAAACAGAAGTAAAATAACAGAACAATAAAGTAAACAGTGACCAAAAAAATGTCATTGTTTTAGTCTATTTTAGCCCTTGAAAAGCTGGAGTACTTCTCTCAATTTTTGCCAGCTTGCTATGCCTTGTTGATTGTGTTCATGTTACTACTTGCTCAAATGTTACATTTTAGGGTGCAGGCTTAAGGATCTATAGTAATGAGTATAGTTTATAATAATTTCCATGGATGCTGTTCAACTATGGTTTAATTTCAAGCACAGACATGGTGCATATGTTATTTGATCAGGAAAGCTTATACCATCATTATACACATACCCACACATCCACATCCACACCTACATATACACTATACATATACATATATTCTTCCATTCAATCATGTCTGATTCTTGGAGACTGGATAAGTCCCTGCAGTTTTCTTGGCAAGGTTTTTCAGAAGTGGTTTGCTATTGCCTCCTTCCGAGGGCAGAGAGAGAGTGACTGGCCCAAGGTCACCTAGCTGGCTTTGTGTCTAACCCGGAACTAGGACTCACGGTCTCCTGGTTTCTAGCCTGATGCCTTTAGCACTACACTAAATGGGCTCTCAATAATGTTTTTAAGGTGATTCAAAACTCTTTAGCTCAGTGGTTCGTTCATTTATTTTTCCTTTGCTGGCACCAAATACAATGTGCTGCTTGAAACTTACATTCTTATGTTTTTCTCTAATAGTAAATTTCATTATGGAAAGCAGCAGGACTCTTGAAAGATGTTATTGTTATATAATAATTTGTAGTGTATAAAAGTGATTTACAAGCTTCAGGTTACTTGGAATATTGTATTTTGAAAAGTAAATTGAAAAGGGGCTAGGATAGAGATGAGATAATTGTCTTGCACAAGTTTCTAAAGCTTTTAAGAAATATTGGGAGAGGTTAAGGGAGATATACTAACCCCACCCTTAGAAGATTGTAACATTTGGATGAAAACACTTTTAATTGCTTTATTTTGTAATAAGAATTGCATCAGGATTAAAGAAGATTTGATGCCAATCGTGTAATAACCCCCCAAAAGTAGCTAGAGAGAAGTTTATAATCTTGTGGTTTTGAGGAGGGAGAGGAAGAGGAAAATTGTCCTGCGACATTTCAAGGAAATCATCCAAACATCCAAGCATTTGGTCCGCTTACTGATGTGGTGCCTGAGGTCCCAGGCCTTTTGTGACCATAGTTTTTATAAACTGACAAAGAAGTCTCCGGTTATTCTTTATAATGTAAGTCTTGCATCATTACCTTCCACTTAAGATTGGATTTTTGAAGAAAATTGTAGTCTCCTTTTCTGCCTTTTGTTCCCATAATGAGATGATGGTTCTCTTCCAATTCCAAGCCTAAGCAGACAGTAGATATTCAATAAATAATTGCTTCAATGTGCTGGAGGACAATTTGCAAACAAAACCAATGCCTTTCACCACAAGGATGCGGCTATCTCCATATTTAGCAGCTACCGCAAGAGGATTGTCCTGACCTCTTACCTATCTCTCGACTCGATTTTATACAACTACACTGTCTCTTGGCACTGTGCAAAATTGGGTAGATAAGTTGTATTGTCTCTAAGAAAACCCACTTGTTCCCAAGTAAATCGCATTCCTTACACAGATGGAACATTCTGTACAGCCTTGGCGCAATTTAGGGCTCTGGAATGGCACACTGGTTTGAAAACTCTATTTCTTTTTCTAAGCATCTGTAGGAAGGAATAACTAGCAGTGCTGAAGTGGCCCAGGGAAAGGAATGCATAATTCTTATTTCAATTGCTATTTTTCATTAGAAGCTTTTCATCAGCTGTGTTCCCATAACATGCCCGGGATCACTTTAGTTGGTTTCACAAGACATCGTGAACTTCAAAATAAGCACCTGGGATAAACTGGGATTAGTTACTCTGCTATTCTCTTGTAAAATTCCACAGTAATGTGTAAGGTGCACAGGGGTGTCAAACTCAATTTCACTGAGGGCCGCATCAGCATTATGGTTGCCCTTGGGGGGCTGGGTGGGTGTGGCCAGAGTGGGTGCAGCCTACTGGGTTGACATGGATGGAGTGGGTGTGCCTACTGGGTGGGCGTGGCCAGTTCTACATCATTCGCGTCAAGGGTGCCTGTGGGGGCCTGGGCAGGAGTGGGACAGATCTGAGGGTCTCTGGCAGAAGGGGGTGGGACCGGGGCAAGTGCCAAGACATGGTCCACCGGGGCAGGTGCCAAGATGGCCACCACAAAATTGTACATTGGCTCCCGGCTGGCCTGGGCCAGGGCCAAGGCAGTGGGGGCCGTTCCCTCACTGTTTACAGGATGGCTTCGCAGGCCACATGAAACCACTTCGCGGGCCGCATCCTGCCCCCAGGCCTTGTGTTTGACATGTCTGCTTTAGAGCTATAGAGATGGCTGTACAAGAATTATTTTAAAGGACTCCTTTAGAAGCTTGGAAGCCTAATGTATAATGAACACGAGGCAGGGAAACAGTTGTTGTAACATTACCTATAGCTCAATTGGAGCATTGTAACACTGAATAATTGAGTCCATTAAGAGAGATTTTTCCCAAAGGTGCATTTTCAAAAGGCAACTAGACTTTCTTTGTTTTTCCTTGAAGACGTTTTGCTTCTCATCCAAGAAGCTTATTCAGTTCTGACTGAAGGGATTAAGAAGGATGTGTTTTTTTCCCTACCAGCCTGCATTAAACAGTTACTTCTGCCTCTTACTTTTTATGTTCCTGCTTCCAAAAGGAAGAGCCTTCCAAACGAAAGATTCCTCAGACAAACAAAGGAGGATTTTGGCTTTGAGGTTTTGTAAATA